CGAGTACTTGATTAACTCGCCATCGCCTCATAATTCCAATCTTGTAATTGCCTTGAGCGTCCTTCTCGGCAGGGGGAACCTCATGGCACCAACATCCTAGTTAGCATGAAAGCCAAGAGCATACATGGTCAGCGTCTTTGGCGCAGCAGCATGGAATGAACGACATACGTAGTAGTCATATTTACCACCATTCGGGAAGTTGTAGGTGAGGAGGCGTCCGCCGGTGCGGTCCGACGCCTCCAAGATCTCGTAGTTGATGTCCAGCGAATCTAGGATAAGGGCGGTGTATAGACCACCAACTCCTGCACCTAGAATTCCAACTGTACCCAGCGGGCCATAACCACGCTTAGGGAGCTCAGGTATCTGCGAGGTCTCTTCATGAGGAGCCGTGGTGAGCGGAGGAATGCTTTTGCGGAGATCATCATAATGTTCGATGATTTTTCGACCCCAGTAGCCAAACACGTCTCCTTGGAAATTCATGGTAAGCGCACCTGGATGGAATTGAATATGTTGAATACATCTCGTCTAGTCCACCCTATATATATTGTGCACACCGTTGATTTTCTACGTAAGGCACGAGCACGTACATGGAATGAGGGCCATGTAAGGACCGAGTAAGGTTGAGACGACTGGTATTCATTATGTCATAGGGCTGCTCAATTCATTCAGTTCGCGTTCACTTGAAGGCAAGTCACTTGATGCGAACATGGAAGTGCCGGGCGTAGTAGTCACTGCCGAGAAATCTGCAAATAAAACCTGACAAAGAATGGTTAGCAACTCCTTCGGTGGTGCCAGAGTGGAGCGCCAACTTATGGGTCATGGCCTCAAGCATACCGTAACCATAATAGCTGCTGCTCTCACTGTCGACAAATTTGCTCCTTGCCATATCGGCTCGACTCTATTGCCAGAGTCGACGAGCAGCGGAAGAGCGTATTGGAGCCGAATTATAAGTGCGCGGGCTGTGCTGGGTTCAAGACAGGTTACGATGTAGGACATGCGAGGAAAATTTGACCATACAACTCCTCGAACCGAAGAGCTGACACTAGTGCTGCACCTCCCGTTGCTGCGATCGGCAAACATTCCCCGCAAACGAGATTTTGACCAATATTTTGTAAACTTCTTTTGCAATAGAAGCACTATGCAGTCAGGGCCGAGAAGGTGAATAATGACCTGCCCGCGAACGAAATCAAGGAATGCTTGTAAAACCATTTGCAATGGGAGCCGCTAGACTGAAAAGGGAACTTATCTAGTAGTAATAATTGCAATGAAGCTCGGTTCCAGAATCCGCTTCTAATTGCAGGAATAAACCAAGTTTTGTGATGCGAAGAACTTGATGGGGAACTCGACACAACACATGCCGAGGAGCAACTTGAAAGAAGGTTCGCTCCTACGGCCTTGGTGGCAATGGAAATCTGTAGCTAGGCTCTAGTAGGTCAACTCCATAATTGATGGTGACTCACTCAGACGTCTCAGAATCGACCCAGGCGACACTGAAAACAACAACAAAGATCTAGATACTGAAAGAATTGACCAAGACCAGCACAGAGAACAGGGAAGATGATGTGCACACCAAGTGACTTACCCGGTTTGAATGAATTGACCAGCCCTTATAATACTAGCAGTATTGCTATCCAGGCATCGGAGTGTGTGCTCAAGGCTACTGCCTGTCGACACGACCTAAGGGTGGTTGGGTTGGACCGAGCGAAGCTCAGGGTGGAACGCAAGCAGCTGGAGCCGATTCGGTCGTGTTAGGCTTGGAAAGGGACGCAAATCGAAATATATTCAACTAGGACTAAATACGACTGTGCTACGAAGTGAGATGAGTGTGAACGCGAAAACAAATTAGATGGGTGAGATGTAAAGCAATATATGGAAGGAAGAGGTGGATGCAAAAGAAAGTAAATCCGGAGCAAGAAAAGGGTTCGAGCTCGTCATCGAGAAGATGAAGTGAGGGTAGGCGAGGAAGAAAGGATACCGCTGCGCTCAAGTGGTGCCGGAAACATCCGCAGGCTCCGATTTCCGGCGCCGTGCTAAAACAGGCTAAAACCTTGTCAAGGATATCTCTCCCTCGGTTCCTTCGAATGACTTCAAAGTTCAAACCCTGAGCGAAAAAGGTCCGGGCACCCTCATTCGCAATGAAAGACCCTCAATTCTGTTCAACATCTCCGCTTCAGCTTAGTGTTGCCGTCGGGGTGATTCGGGTCGGGTCGATGTGGAAAATTCTGATAATCGATACAGTTCGGACTAACGAGTTGAAACGATTTGTACCTCGTTCACGCGATTTGGAAACGAGTTCATAGTGGGAGTCGTGACCGACTGTAAGCTTGGCTTACGCATCTACGACACTTAGCTACTAATGGTATTCAAAATAAAACCCTTACCAGACGCCTTACGCTGTATTACCCAGCAATTACTAGTTCGTTAATGTCAGTTCTTATTCTGAACTCTAGAGGCTCTGCACTCAGTCTTCTGAAGCAAGTGGTGCCCATCCTTGTAGCTCTACACATTGCGAATCCACGTACGCCTGTCACTGGCTTTCCATCGCTCTTCCACCACACTCGCTCCAATACCGATGGAGCAACCGAATTTCAGTAACACCCAAGGCAGTCCATTTTTTCTCGTCGCAGTCCTGACTTCCTCATATTGTCGAAGTTGCTACAATACAGGACAGAAGGGTATGCCTTCGTGTGTGTTTCCAACCATTGTGGTTAATGGTCTCTATCCAGGCATTGGTTGTTGCTCAAGCTGAAATGAACACAGCAAAATTGCAACCAATCGAACTGCAAAGCCCAGGCGCCTTCGTTGTAATCTCAGCCTACCCCCCTCGGCGTCCGCGACACCTGCTGCTCATGATACTGACAGATATTGGGACCTAGATAGCACGATTCCACATGCCGGAAAATTTGTATTTGCGCAAAGATTTCTTGTGAATGCTCGAATGACACCAGAGTCACTGCCGAATATATGGTCCCGAAGCAGTTTTGTGTGTCAAGATTGAACATTGAATTCCTGCATGTAGGTTATCTCGGGAATAACGCGTTGTGTGCACTACTATCAGGCCTGTAGACTCACCAACAATCCCTGCCAACCATGTCCTCCCCGACCAGTAAGAAGGAAGAGTCAACCGGGTACAAGGTGTTGTGCACCTGCCTGACGGATGACAGATGGTACGACTCCCTCCGGAGTGTGGGATGTCAAGAGCGGGGACACAGTCCTAGAGATGTCTGCGTAGGTGGTGATCTATTCACCCGAAAACACAATTTGCGACGGGCGGATACCATGAGGATGCAACAAAAATCTGGAATGCAAAGATGGGCAAGCTCGAACACGCCACTCGCCCGATCTTACACCTGTATGTCTTCCCCTTCTATGTTCATGTCCTTCCTTACCCCATCTGGCCTGGTCATCCACTGGCGCTGCAGAAATTGACATAATTTGAGCTAGAAGCAATATATTTCTAAATACCGACAGGCCGCTAAGTGTTCATTTCAGCAGTTTTGCTGATGAGGAGACAGATGACCGAGTCGCATAATCAACGCACAGGCGGCAACTTACTACTTCCCCGTGGTTATAAGGATGGTTACGTTATATACGGTTTGCTAACCCATTGCTCGAATTATGGCACCTGCAGTCGATGGTCACCTTGCTATCCTCGCCGGCATTCCTCTTTCCTTTGTCGCAGTCACGGTACTTAGCCGATTCATCAAGAAGCGACAGAATAACCCCTCTCTTCCTCCTGGCCCAGTGCCGCTCCCATTACTAGGGAACGTCTTATCTATCGACCCTCAGGAGCCTTGGCTGACTTATACTAAATGGGGTGCTACGTATGGTACGTGAACAGATAGTATGGGGCATATGTGGTGCAAATCATTGTATCAGGGGACTTGGTCTTCGTGCGAAATATAGGCGAGGAAATGGTTGTGGTCAATTCTCAGTACATTGCAGAAGCCTTATTGGATAAGCGTTCTCGAATTTATTCCGATCGACCATACCTAGCCACACTCAAGCCGTGCGTTCCTTCGGTATTCTTCTATTCAATCAAGTCTGAGGTTTATGCAGATACGGCTTGTCGATCAACTTTGCATTCTTAGGTTATGGTGATGAATGGCGTCTCTGCCGACGACTCTTCCACCAAACTTTCCGCCCTGAGTCTGCAGTAAAATTTCGCTCAATGCAGATCAGACGGGCTCGTGAGATGGTCATCAACCTGATCGATGATCCTCGACATTACCATGACCACTTCGCAACGTCAGCAAATGATTTTTACAAATTGAACCATTATTTATATGTCTACAGATTTTCATTATCTGTTGTGATGTCGGCTGTATATGGCTACGATGCCAGTACTCGTGATGATCCTCTGGTGCGGACTGTGGTAAAGGCACTGAATCCGGGCACAGCCGTGTTGACGCCAGAGAGAGCATTGATGCTCAAGACCTTCCCCTTCTGTGAGCTCAATTCTCCTATATGAGAAAGCGTTAATACAACATGCACTTTTAGTACTAAAGTTACCTGACTGGTACTGGGGATCCTCGATCAAGCGTAGTGCTCGAGCTTCGACCGAGCGCGTCAATCAAATGGCCGACATGCCATTTCAGTATGTGCAGCAGCACATAGTGGGTATTTATTTTTCTCTTGGTTCCAGATATCGATTCGACCCATACCAAGGCCGACAGCTCGTTCGTCGCTCAATCTTCAATGGTCGCAGAAAATTTGCGACGGATGGAAACACAAGAGGAGACATCCAAACCTGCATTGGAGAATGCCTTGAAGAAAGCAGCTACTACTGCTATTGGGGGTAAGTGAGCTTTTTCACAAGTAACGTTGTGCTCTCGACACATTAATACCACACAGCTTCATATGACACGGTAAGTGGATAACTCCATCATGTCCGCTGCTTATTGCCGTTACAGACTGAGGCAATTTTGATGGTTTTTGTTTTGGCCATGGTATTATATCCAGAGGTTCAAAAACGCGCACAAGCGGAAATCGACTCAGTGATTGACAGAGATCGGCTGCCAACGTTCGAGGACAGAACATCACTACCCTACATTGATGCAGTTGTGCGGGAAACTTTCCGATGGCAACCCGTTGCACCCCTTGGTATTCTTCCCCGCCGAGTGATCTGACCTGTACTGAAGATGATCTCATAGGTATACCCCACGCTGCCTTGAGTGACGACGTATACGATGGCTATTTCATTCCAAAAGGTCCGCTGTTTCTGTCCCACCAAAACAATGAGCATTTATAATATCGTACATCAGGCGCAATCATCACATACAACACATGGTCCGATATGTTCCTTCCAGCTTTTGTGATACTAACTTGATTGTAGGGGCATTACTCGGGATGAAAAGCGATACCCCGACGCATCTCGTTTTATACCAGAGAGGTTCATCGACGTTGGTGGTGCATTGACAGATGATGACCCTGCACAGTATATTTTCGGATTTGGCCGGCGTATATGTCCAGGTTCGTTAAGTTATCTTAATGCTACAAAAGATTCGCTGACAGATAGACTTTAATCAGGGCGGTATACCGCTGATGCTTCTACGTGGTCTGTCATTGTGACCATGTTGGCCACTTTGGATATTTCTTCTGCCAAAGATGATCAAGGCAAA